GGTTTAAATAGGAAGCCCTGACAAATCAGGATTCATGGTGTTCCTCCAATCAAGCCCTGGGAAGTCCTCCTTGATGTCACTTCAGGTTTCATTGTCTCTCCTGCTCAGATGATTAGTAGCGAGCCACTGGGTGGCAGCAGAGAGGCAACAGTCAACTGGGGACCCATCTTGAAGACCAGTAGGGTCATGACAGTTGCCAGCAAAAATTCTTCTTTATCTTTGTGCAAGAGTAACAACAGTGGTACGAAAGAGGTTTGGAATCTTGTTATTTTAGGAGTTTAGTCAATGGGGTTAGCTGGTGTAGAGCAAAAGCCTACACAAACTCATGCTCCTGTATGTGACATACACAGTATGAGAGACAAGCTGGATGATGTAATAACTTATTGGACCTGCTTCTGTTAGTGAAAGACAAGCTTGTGAGCTACACAGAGCTCTTTTTCAGGTATCACATAGTAAGACTTAGGGTATGTCTACACCCAGCCGCTAGTTCGGTGGCTGGCAATCGAAGTTCTGGGTTTGACTTATCGCGTCTTGTCTGGACGCGATAAGTCGAACCAGGAAGTGCTCGCTGTCGACTGCGGTACTCCAGCTAGACGAGAGGAGTACCGCGGAGTCGACGGGGGAGCCTGCCTGCCGCGTGTGGACCGAGGTAAGTTCGAACTAAGGTACTTCGAACTTCAGCTACGTTATTCACGTAGCTGAAGTTGCGTACCTTAGTTCGATTTGGGGGTTTAGTGTAGACCAAACCTTAGACAGGCAGCTTTGCAGTTGTGTGCGTTGACAGTATACATGACCTGCAGGGCAACCAGGGTAATTTTACATGGCCTAATTTTCAGGAGTACTGAAGAGCCACAACTGCAAATGAAGTCAGACAAGTGCAGGTGCTCAGCACTTCTGAAAATCAGGTCCAGAGCATGCATTATAGGCAAGGCTGGGAGCAGCACCTACTAGTAAGGTTGCCCACCTATCAGGAAACCCAGTTTCTCTTAAAATTGAAGCTTTGCCAGAAAAGCTTATGGGAGTAGGTGTGGTGGGTAAGTGTAAGAAAACAGGTCTGATAGTGTTTTAAACGCATGATCTAATGTCATAAGGATTGCATTACTTGTTTCTACAAAAACACAACATTACAAAGTTTCAAGTGACATGAAACCCTTTGATGGCAGAGTTTGTTTACATCCTTTGCACTCACAAAGTCACATACTTCCACAATTAATGCAACACTGATTTTTTTTTTTTTTAATATGTTGTCTAGTGCTCTGAGAGTTTTCAGAAATCAGATAAGCAATGCACCCAACTTCTGCTTTAAACAATAAAAAGATTGCTGTAGTAAAAATCAAACAAGACACCCTTAAAAGGAGTGTCATTTAAACTACACGTGCACTTGATTTTATGTGCTACTGTAACTAGAAGAGGATCTCATAAGTATCTTCTATTTAGACTCACACAGCCTATGGTAGTATTATGCAGTCCAAGTGTATATATTTAGTCTAAAATTCACATATTATTCTATGCAAAAAAATATAACTATATGATTAACAAACATAGGTCCCACAACCAGATCCACATGACCAGACCTTTGCACCATAAAAAGCACCATTGAAATTAGTAGGACTCCACCAAAATGGATCTGTATGCAGGGTCAGGGCCATCAATTGTAGGAAGTCTATGAGCTCAAGAGTGATTCAGGGAACTGCCTCTTCATTTGTATGGGACATAGTTGCTCCCTTCCCCACATGGGAAGGGGGAAAAATGCAGAACATGCCTCTTTCATTCCTGAGGCAATGCTTCAGGAACAAGTTATTTCTGCCAATGCATTTCACTGTGGTGGGTATTTTGGGAGCGCACCTGTTTGGACCAGAGATACAAGTGTTGGAAGTGTATACACCTTTCCAGAAAATGAGATCGCTGCCTTTTATGTTCTCCATCCTCTTCAATGTGTTTACAGGACTGAGATTCGAGTTGGATGTAAAATGGAATGATCCTCCTGTGAGAAATTTCAGTGGGTTGGACAAAATTTAGTCCCAACTCCAGATGAAAAGTCAAAGATTTAAAATTTTTCACAGGTGGGCACATTCTGAAAAATTCCATTTTAGGAGAACTGAATTTTTCAGCTTTCTCCTAGCTCCATGGACAGCTGCCTTTCCATGGTGCCCAACTCTCCAGGAAGTTGGAGTCATGGGGTGTCAAGCAGGCCTGGGAGGCACTTCCTAGGGAGTAGAGGCAGCCCAGGCAGGATGACCTGCTTTCTTGCTTACATGGTTTCCATCAAAAAAGTGTCATCACACTGTTCAGATTCCATCAAAAACAGCATTTTCTGACAGGTAAGGGTTGTGTTGGAAAATTTTTGACCAGTTCTAATGATCTGTGATGCGTAACTGGGAACTGTAATTTCCAACAAGGATGAGGCCTTAAGGTGCAAAATTCAAACTCTCCCAAATTCAGGTTTCTTTGGAGCTGGATATTTGGTTTGGGTAGAACTCTAATCTCTGGGTGGTGTGTGAGTAACACTGGTCATATCTTTCTTCAATATTTTATTGCAAAATTGTGCATCAAGTATTTTCAACTTCCCAAGAGTATTTTACATTTGAAGGATTGTTTGTACGGTCACAAGCTACATACATACAGCACACAGGAAATGCAGCCATCTGTCAGGCAGTAAGCAGAAGCTAAACAGTATACAGCACACTGCACAACTTTTTAGTAGGGAACAACAACAGGGGAAATTTTGACCAAGAAAACCAGAACAAACCACTCCCTCTATTAGAACTATCATGCGGTCTATCATATTCAGGCAAAACAGACAGGAGTTCAGTTTTAACTGACAGTGCTCCATGTGGTTTGCATCATCAGTTATACATGGATGTATGTATGTCATAAATTACTTATCTATTAAAAGCCATACAAGGATCTTATCTTGAACTAAACAGAGTGGGGATAAGACGAAATAGGGAGGGGATAAAGAGCATACGGTATGTTGAAATAGTGAAAGATCAGCGTGTTGTGTATATATTATTAGTTCTTTGGATTTAAAAAGATGCAATTACATAAACATGTTGAGGAGGTAGTGGGATGTTCAAATAGTACCCAAAATGATGGTTGAGGTGGGTTCTTCTTCTTCATGAAGGAATGCTGTTGTAAGTGTTAAGGAAAAATTTTAAGGAGGAAATCTCTAATGCAAAGTTAATAAAAAATTGAACTTGTACATGAACTCAAGTTCTAGTCCTTCTGGCAGTCACTGAGTGTATGTATACACACACACACACACACACACACACAGAGACACAAACACACACTCTCTCATTCTGTCTTCCTTTGTTGTTGTTGTTTTTTTTTTTTAAAAGCTTTCAGATAACATTTTCAAAAGTGCTCAAGGAATTTAGGAATCTAAGTAACTTTGGATTCTAGTGCCACTGACTTTCAATGAGACTGAAGAATCTAAGTTACTTTTGAAAATGAGACTTAGCTTCCTATGTTACTTAAGCACTTTTGAAAATTTTACCAACATCTTTCTCCGCCTTCTGTTCCCACCTGTATCATGGATATTTTAACACAAGCATTTTTTTCCATAGTGAAGAAATAACTATGTAAAGAAGCATCATGAAGGCATGATTTAAAAGAAACACCAGCCCTTTCAGGAGGGACACATTTCTAGTCAATCTCACATATTAATGTTGTATTTGGAATGGCCATTTTATCTTTAAAGCTTTTCCCCCTTTCTAAAGTAAGCTCAGTATAAAAAGGTCACTCACCATACAGAGTGCAAGAACCTTCAAAGATTAAAAAGGGAAAGAAATTTAAGTTTGAATGAGTTCCTGGGTATCACGGCCACTAAAGTATAGAGTGAACACTGATCACAGAGCTGGAGATACTGATCTTTAGAGCCCTGCGCGGTTTGTATCTGCATCCGATCTGCAAACATGGTCCGCGGATATCCACATCCGTGGATACAACGCAGATTTGCAGGGCTCTACTGATCTTTACACAATACGATTTTCCTGTCAGTTTTCCATTAGTCAATAGTTATTACTTCCCCCACCCCCGACTTTGGAATCAAAAACTCCTTCCCTCCCCTTAAATACAGAGTACCACTAAATTAGGGGAACCAGGGAAAAGGGAAGCAGCATTTTGGTTATACCAAATGAAACTCTGACCTTTCACTTCAGCTCCACTTAGAGATGAGGAGAATGATTCTAGTATAATTTACACCCGTGTCGAAAGTCAATGGAATTATACCAGAATAAAACTGTTCTCGGGGGAATCAGAATCAGAACTATGGTATGCTGCCTGCAAACCAGCATTACACCCCATAAAGTGTCCTGTGCTTTCAAGGAAACTCACAACGAGATGTTTAGAGGGTTTTTTAGGCTGGATCTAATTATAGTTCCATTACTCTGAATGAAGGTGAACTTAACCCTCCCAATTTCTTGTTCTGAAGCTGGGGGGAGGAGGGATTCAAACCACTTTTAGAAAACAAACTAAAATCATCTGAGATAGTACATCATTGTTACTTTAATGACTAGACTTTGTACAATACAATCTTTGTTAAAGCACTGGATACAAACGTGAAGATAAATTCTGGCAGACAGAACTCCGAGGACAAGATATTTACATGTTCCTCAGATAGCATTCTAGTCTCCCAGCTTTAAAGAAAGCCAGACTCAAGTTCTGCTCAGCCCTATTCGTGGTCTTTGAGTTACAAAACTAGTCACGTGTAGTTGTACTATAAACAGTTCGCAATTGGCGTTCAAATATTTTCTTAATTTCACATGATCATATCGAGCCTGCATTCCTGAAACTTTGTAGTCTCTCTACTAAGTTCCAGCGTTAACAGCTGTAAAAGAAAATAGCAGAATCATAAGGCAGCCAGTATCAAAAGTTAAGAAACAACATAAAACGTACACAGGATTTTTTCCTTTTGATACTGTATAGATAGTTCAGCTCAGCCCCACACCACAAGCAACAGGCGCAGAGACTTTCCAGACAATACATCGGATACTTACAGGAGTAGGACACCTTTGTTTTCTCTTTTATTGACAGCCCTTACAGGTTTTAGTTCTTCCACATCAGACTGTTGTTCAGTCATTAGCACCGTCTGCAGAAAGCGCTCTGTGAGTATCCGTGTGTCTCCTCCTCTACCCCTTACTACCAACAATTGAAATAGACTCACTCCAGCTTTTCCCTCCCTTCCTGTCACACAACTCTTTCTTGAAACTCCAGAGAGCAAATTAAGCCCAGCTCTTTATCTCTGGCTAACCTGAGCAAGTTTAAACTGGCCCTATCTGCGGGACCTAATGGTAAAGGGAAGGCAGAAGAGAGAAAGGAAGGAGGAGGAAAAAAGAAAAAAAGAAAAGAGACATCCTTTTCTCCACCCCACCAGTAGTTGGGGGTGGGGGTAGGCGGAAGGAAGGCGGGGAGAAAGCCTGTTCAACAAGTCTTTCTGGGAGAGGAAACTAATGAGCCAAGCAGGTGGAAACACGGTGATAACAATTCACAGCTGCTTTACTTTTTAAACCATAAATTTATCGGAATGAAGCTATAAAATAGGATTTAATGATGTTAAACATAATTACAAGCGCTGACTTTATATAACTTAAGATATAATAACAGTGACAAAGAACTGAGGCAACACACCATGATCGCGTCTTTTTAGATTACACCAGGCGGCTGGTCTTTTACACAACTTAAATTATTCAAACAGGATGTTGCCTCATCGGGTACTGCCTCCTGATTACTTAAACAAAAGGTCTATTTAATGTTTTATATGGGAATGACAACGATGACAAGACGCAAGTGGCTGTGCCATTAACCCTTTGCTGCCCCAAAGAGCCAATTTTTGTTTATTTTCAGAGCAGACAATAGGCATGGAGTAGTGGTCCCAACCTGGATGACTGACAAGTTGGCCATGATGACAGGTATTTTTATATTTGAGATACCATAGTGATAAGTGTGGTGTAAAAACTTAGGTTGATTTATAACAACAGCAATAACCTACTGCATTTTTATGGTGTTTTTCATCCTGAAGGATCTCAAAGTGCATCACAAAGGACACCACTGATCTTGCAAATTGTTGCATCTGTCTGCATGGAGCCCTTTTGAAATCAATAGTGTTAATTATAGGTACAACAGTCTTCCCATATGCAACAAGTTGCAGAATCAGGCTTATATACTTATGCATCATGGAGGGTGCCAGTCAGCCATTAGGCAGTAAACTACATCATCATAATAATAGGGGGTGGGAGGAAGAGGTAAGGAGTGGGGATACTGTTTGTCCCAGTGTTCTTCAACTTCAATCTACACTTACAAAAAGAGACAGGTTCTTTACAGGTGAAAAAAAAAAAGGCACTTTTTGGTGTCTAAAGAAGGCCTGAGAGGGGATGGGTTTTGTATTTTCCTGCTTGTACATTAGAAACTCAGGTCTCTGTAGACTGAAAGTTTTTATGCTGTCTGGAGAATGAGTGCAATGATGACATCACAAAGGCTAGGGGCTTGATCCTGCTCCCATTAGGTCAATGGCAAATCTTCCATTGATGACAATGGAGGATGATCAAGAGAATAAAAGTTGAGCAAGGGAAAGCAGAATGTTTAAAATTCATTCTTTTGTGTTTTTTTTAAATTTGAACATATTTCACTTCAATGACTAATTCACATTTTGGATAAAGGAAGCCTCTGTTGAAGTCCAACACCTTTGCCCCTTCAATTAGCATCTTAGATCTCACAGTAAACATATCTGAGACCTCCTAAGGTCCTCCTGCAAACCCAAGAAAGATCAAACTCTACATTCCTGATATTTCTAACATAAGCAAACATGGAAATTTTGGGCACTTCTCATGAGACACTCAGCACCTTCTAGGTTTATGTCCCAAGATTTACCTGTGACTGTTAATATAGGCATTACCCTGAAGAAGTCTACCTAGGTGCCAGCAGTGTGAACCCTCTATATTAGGATAACTCACTAATCACTAGAATAATTCACTAGAACTGATGTTTTCACCTATGCTGGCTCAGATAAATCTTTTTCTGCCTCTGTCTAGCAACACCCTAGGTTGGCATGGCAGCCCCAAGAAACCATCTAACATCATGCAACAAATATACAGTAGGATCTAATGTCAGACCCCCCACTTGTACTCAGCAGGATGCTGCTGAATTTGCAAGCAGAGAGAAATATTAAATGGCAGCATCTCACACAGGGGCCTCTGCATGCTACCAATGAAATATAAATGAGAGTATCAAAAACATTCCAGATTTCTGATTGTATTTCATAATGGGTAACAGGTCCAGGTAGAAAATATATATAGTTTCTTTACATAAAATACCATAAGTTTAAAGGTGTGGATTGTATATCTATTTACATGAATATGATAAGGACTAAAATAAAATAAAAAAATCCCCTACAAAACTGGCCCATTTTCAAGACATTTAAAATGTATGGTATAAATACATGTTTAAGTCTGTATCAAAATCACCACCCCCAATCCAGTAGAGTCATCGAGACTCCACACAGAAAAAGAGGTCTTTGCTAGTAGATCCCAAAGTAGGATCTGGACATTTGTATGTATTTCAGATTTTCTTCTTTATGTAGTACCAATAGAATTCTCAGCTGAATTTTGTCTGATGATGGGTGAAGCCTACTGCAGGGTTTCTTATAGCTTCCTCTGAAGCATCTGGTACTGTCTACTCTTGGAGAAAAGATACTGGATTAGATGGACCACAGGTCTGATCCAATATAACAATTCCCAAGTGCCTATATAAAACCCTGGTCCTGCAAATACTTAAAATTAAATATGTCTATGTGTTAAGGACTGGGACCTAAATTTCTAGCCATTGCATATAGCTATTATTGATTTTGCCCCATATCTCCAGGAGTAACAGAGAGTGTAAAGAAATATGTATATTCTGCTGTGACTTGGTACCCTTTCCTGAAGCTCATCCTCACCTGAGTATTCTTACCGATTTCAACAATTGTTGTATGCAGTGTAGTTGTAGCTATGTCGGTCCCAGGATATTAGAGACACAAGGTGGGTGAGGTGATATCTTTTACTGGACAGAAGTTGGTCCAGTAAAAGATATTACCTCATCCACCTTCTCTCTCTGTTTTCAACAAGACAGCTCAAGTGAGCTGCAAGATCAGACCCCTTGCTGACTGGCCTTGAAAAAAAGTCACTTAACCTCAGTTAGTGCCTTATTTTTCTTGTCTTTAAAATGTGGATAATAATGCTAACCAATCACCAGAGTTGTTGTGAAGATTCATTCATTAGTTAGTATTTATACAACAGTTGGAAATGTAAAGTACTATGAAAGTACTGAGTATTGTTATTATTGAATATTTATTAATCTAGTAAAATAAAATAGTTTCTGTAATAGAATTGTAGGACTGGAAGAGGCCTTGAGAGGTTATCTAGTCCAGTCCCCTGCACTCATGGCAGTACTAAGTATTAGTCTATGAAATATACTATGTATAAGTATAACTATGTATACTATGAAGCTGTTACAGAGTTCACACTTGCTGGGACAGAATGAGCTCTAGGATTCTGCAGGGAGATGCAAGGCTTCTGTTGCAATCTCATGTTGCTAGCCAGACCAGGTGAGGCTCATTAACTCTAATCCAGGAGAATTAAAAGGGCAGGTGCCTCTCTGAGCAGAGAGGAAACAGAGAAGCTTGGGGGAGGAAAATCAATTTATGAGTAGCTATACTTGTGGAGAAAGAATAGGATGAAGTTTAGGGTAGATTTTGTAGCTGATTTGTTGTTTAATTTAATTTAAAAATAAAGACAAATATGTGAAGGGGTAACCTTTAGCCTATAGCCAGTGTGTTTAGATTGTTCAGAGTAAGGTGGGAATTTTACCTGCTTATATGTGGTAATTGGAGTGGGATTATGGGCACACCCTACATTAGAGATAAAATGAAACATGTCGTACAGTGGCAAGAGGAACTCAGCAGTGGTATGTCCAAGTCTGCTGCCACCCTACAGCAATGGCTACAAGTCCAGGCTGCAGCCCAACAGGCTTTGTGCGTGTGTGTAGTTTAGGTTGTTATGTTCATGGCATACACAAAGAGAAGTTACATAAAATACTCTTTCTGGAAGGTTGCAACATAACATTACTTTATTTTAGGCACCCAAGTCTGAAAATTGGTGGCCCTGGTTAATACCCTGCCTCTGGAATTATTTTAAATGTCTGTATGGATCAGCACATCTGGAATCAGAAGTGAAAGTGCCAACATAGCTAGAGAGATACTATTCTTAGAGTACTGTGAGGCCAAATGGAAGCAGGAAGTTCCAGAAATCTAGTGAGAGAACCTGCTGTTTTGTTGAAATGTCAAAGCTAATTCTGGAGACTCTAAAGACCAGATTAAAAATCCATGGCAAGATTCCTGATTTGTATACATTGGTGTATCTTCACTGATGTCAATGGAGCTATGCTGACTTACATCAGCTGCGAACTTGGCCCCTGACCTTCCAATACTTAGACAACTGTAACCTTCATTCTTCTGAAGGTCTGTTTACATGTTGAGCTGGGGGTGTGGTTCTCTGCTCAAGATGACCTACCCGCACTAGTTCTGGTCACCCTAGCGTGCTAATAATAGGGTATAGCCACAGAAGTGAGCAGCTACTTGCCCTGACTATGTGCCATTGGTCTCAGATGGATACTACTCAGGGCAGCTTGCCACTCCTGTTACTTGTGCTGCCACAGCTACACTATGTTTAGCACACTAGCTCAATCAGAGCTACGGTGGGTATGTAGTGTAGATGTACCCTAAGAGTTGTCCATGTTGTATGTAGCTACGTAGCTTTCTATGTACAGAATCTTTAAATGTGAGAGGTTTGTCAACCAGGACTGTGAAACAGTTTAAGATTTAAGGAGCGGGGACTTAGAATGAGGGACGTACTCTGCTTTCTCTCTGGTGGAAAACTTACACTTATTTTCTAGAAAGGATGGTCCAGTGGTTAGGGCATTCATTTTTAATTGAGGAAACCTAGACCCTGCTCTGCCACAGATTTGGGCAAGTCGCTTTTAAAAATCTGCCCCTTAGTCTCTGTGCTTCAAATCCCCATCTCTAAAATGGGGATAACAATACTTCCCTAACTCACAGGGGCATGTGAGTATAGATAAGTTGAAGATTGAAGTGCTCAAATATCATAGTCATAGGTGCCAATATACGTACATTAGATTTTTCTTAGCCTAAAATAAGCCATCTAACCTGAATGTATATGAGGTGCTCTTTGCATAATGCCTATCTGTTGTGATTTTGTATGTGTGGTGGGGGAAAGGGAATAGCTTGGA